TTTTTTTGGGGGGGGGGTTTGGTTTGATTTGTTTTGAATTTCGCACAAAGCTAAAACTAGGGCTATCCGCGCTAGCCATGCCTAATTTAGCAGTGAAAGACTAGAGGGAAGGCAGCTAGTCATCACCACCCACCGCCAACTCTTGGGCTACTCTTTTACCAACGAATAGTGGGATCGACCGTCACATTCCCCAAGTTGATACAATATCACTTTATTTTCCATTGTTATGAAATATAATGAATATACCCGTCTTAGAAATTCTAAATCCCCTGAACAAATCTTTATGATTTAAACATACGACTTCTTTTTGGATTGGAAGATGTTGTTTCATACCCATCCTGAAAGCGATAAAATTTCGGTGGCATCACACTCTACTTAAGTAACATGAAAAACTGCCAAAATGTAGGTCCAATACATTCAGTTCTATTGAAACTTTATATAGGCTATGGCTGTCATGTGACTTGCTGAATTATATATTAAAATCGTTTTACATACTCAATCCTCTGTAGAATCAAGAATTCCATAACAGTATACGATGTGCCAATAAAAACAAAATTAACTAAAGAGAGCCGTCAGAAGAAGAATCTGCAAAAGAAAACAAGTCTTAAAAAAAAAGAGGCCTGGCAAGGCCAGGTGGTTAGTGCGCTCGACTCGCAATCTGAGGTTCGAAACTCCGTCCCACCAAACATGCTCGCTCTTTCAGCCGTGGGGGCGTTATTTGAGTACCTTATACTAAAACGATTTTGGAGTATAATTCCCTCTTTACAGTTCATGTCGACGCGATTAGTCATGCTATACCTGACGATCGTGTATCTTGACAATAGGCCTCATGTATACTTTTCATTGCAAATGTCTCCATTGTAGGTCTGTTATGTCCAAGCACAGAACTTTTCCCTGCACTTTCCATAACCCATCAAGTGCATGAAGACTACGGTTTCCCAGGAACCGTTTTAACAGTTCCTTGGCACTGAAACCCATAAGTGCTGCATCTGGCAACCTTACAAGTATGTTTTCTTATGAAATAGCATAAATACCCCTTTCATTCTCCATCTGCTTGAGGTTGAGCGGATATTTCGTGGAAGCAGCTTGCGTACACGTGACTTTTGTCGCTTTTCCAGACAGATATCCTTTTGAGTATGTTCTTTCTGTTGCCTGGAGCGCTTGAAAGGGTTTTATTACTGATCTTTGTGCTCGTGGATTGTCACCTTTTACAAGACGATGTACTTTCCTAGGATATGATTTGTCACAGGTCTCTTTTTTGGATGGTCCTAGTATGTATGAATGTGAGTACTTTTTTGGCTAAGTTTTGTTGTTCTATATATTATTTTCATTTTTACTTTATTACCTAAATTATATTTTTTCTCCACCTTGTTTATCTTTAAATAATCTTACATTTAATTTCTCTTTGCCTTTGTTGCTGTTCTTAACCGACTTCGATGCACAAGTTACATCTTTCTTCACTCCATCGTAGACAGTTTTACATGACTATATTTTCGATGTGATTTCTATCACACCACTATCTTTCTTTTCCTTCGTTATTACTTTCTTGCCCTTTCTTGGAAAGTATTAAGTTTGGGCTCAATATTTTAGTTTATTTTATCACTAATTATGTCTTTTCTTGACACTTTTGATTTAGTTTGATTTCGTGTTCAAGATTTGTTTTCTATTTCGTGTTTTTCTTCTACATTTTTATTCTGTGTCTGCATTATTTACATGTGTGATTTGTTTGTTTTTTTAACTGAAAATTTTTCTTTCTTGACTACCTCATGGACATTATATTTTTTTCACTGGACATTATTTAACTCTTGGCTCTAATGTTATTATTTTTGGTTCTCTTGACAAGAAAATTATATGTGGTGTTTTTCTTTCTTCATTGCGTCTTAGATGCTACTTCTTTCTTGGTATTTTCTTAATATTATCACTTTTTGCCAGGTTTTACCACGTTTATGTTCTTGGCTCTGACGTGGATTTAGGTTTTCATCTTTAACTCGAGAAAATATTTTTCTTGTTTCATTCTGCTATGTTTCTGTGATCTTTGATTTCATCATGGAATCCTTCATAGCTATATAGTAATTTTTCCCCCTTTTTTTCTATATTTAAGGTTTATGTTTTCTTAACTTTGTGATCATTATTTTCTCTTTTCTCTCTTGACTGTAATTTTCTCATCGTGTTCATTGTTGCTTTTTTTATTTTTCTGGGCTTTCTATTTGCTGGCTTATTAGTTATTGTGGTTTCATTCCAGTTTTTGTGTGTCTTGGAAGCTTTTCTTTTACTCTCTCAGTGATAGTTATTTTTGGTGTCTGTGTCTTTTCTAGTTTTATAGTTGATGTTATTTTAATAGTTGTGTTTTAAAAGTAGTTTGTCCGTTTTTGCCAGGAATGCATAAAGTAGTTCGTTTTGATTTTTTGTTCTTCTTGGTTATATTTTCAATGAGTTTTTTTTTCTCTATCCTTATTTGTTTCAGTTCTCTTGATTCTCTCATTACAGTTGTTTGGGACTGTTTTCACTTTGAATCTTTCCTTGACTTTTTGATGGTGTAGTTTCAAAATTCATTTTTCATCTTCCCCTCTGAAATATTTTTTTATTGTCTTTTTGTCTAGAATCTGTGAATTTATCTATCTTGATAATTTATTATGTGCTTGAATTTTGCCTGCTTATTGTTTTCTTTATTGACTCTGGCTTTTAAGTTTTAACTTTTATTTCAGATTAAATTTAATGGCTCAGTTTTAGAAACAATTTATTTATTCTTTTGTTATTAAATGAAACGTCCTGACTCGAGGTTAGAAATGGTTTATTGTTTAGCTTTGCTGGAGTTTTTATTTTCTTCTCCCTCTTTAAAGCTACTACTTCCTTTTTTTTATATCAAAGTTGATCTTTTGCGCTACAGCTCGAAATTTACTTGGTTAATCAAAGAAGAATTTTTTTTCTGTTGGATCTATTTTAGTAACTGTTCCTGTTTTGTTCAAACATAAAATGTATTATTTATCTTGACGGTTGTTACTGCCTTGACTGTTTCCAAGTTGTTTTTTTTATCTTCCTTCATATTTTTTACGGATACTTTTATGAATCTGTTCATTGCTTGACTTTATTTAAGATATTAGTCATTTCATATTGACTTCATATCTAATTATGTATGCTTCTTGATTCTCTACTGGAAGTTGGTATATTCTTGGCTATATTTCAGATTTAGTTTCTTGTTATTGTTTTTCGATTCCCACGGAAAGCCCGTTGTGCAGCTTGTACATAACAACTAACAAATAAAGTTCTCATCGCTATTTTTTTTTCTGACACTATTATAGATATTGTATATTACCATATTCGCTCTTGAAAGTCATTTCTTACCTTAATTATCTTTCATTTTTGTTTATGCTAAGGCGAAGGTTTTTTTTACTACGTGTTTTTTCTATGAAATTAATATTGTAAAATTATTTGTAAGCTATCAAAGATTACCTAGAATTTGTATAATTTTATTTAAAGAGTCTACGTTTTTTTCAGAGTTATCTTTAGTACGACAGAATATATTATATGATGAAAATGAAAGCAAGAAAATGGTTTGAATAAGATTTGTTTTGTGTTCAGGCAAAGTTCTGACACGTCATATTAGTAATCCAGCACCTCCTTCTGATGCTTATTTGGTATTAAGAACAACGACTACAGCAAGATCTACCACCTACAATGTTTGATTCTCAACAACGACTACATCAAGATCTACCACCTAAAATGTTTGATTCTCAACAATGACTACAACAAGATCTACCACCTACAATGTTTGATTCTCAACAACGACTACAGCAAGATCTACCACCTACAATGTTTGATTCTCAACAACGACTACATCAAGATCTACCACCTACAATGTTTGATTCTCAACAACGACTACAGCAAGATCTACCACATACAATGTTTGATTTCCAACAACGATTACAGCAAGATCTACCACCTACAATGTTTGATTCTCAACAACGACTACAACAAGATTTACCACCTACAATGTTTATTTCTAGTTTTCATCTCAGTAGATACCAAAATATAAGTATATAAAATAGACGAATAAATAAGCCTTAAATAAGCTTTTCTGTTTTTTAAAATGCTTTGTTTTATTCATGAAAGATATGAGGCATTAAATGGTTACACGTAATGTGTCTTATTCTGTGGTTTCACCAGTTTTTCAGAAATGCACCAAACTCGATCAAGTCAGAATTATATCTATCTATCTTATGTACGTTACTTACAAGGGAAAATCAAACATTGTAGTTGGTAGATTAATGCTGTAGTCGTCGTTGAGAACCAAACATTGTAGGTGGTAGATTTTGCTGTAGTCGTTGTTGAGAATCGAACACTGCAGAAGGTATTCAGTGACCTTATTGTTGCCTACTCGCTATAACAAAATATAATTTGATAAATGTGTGCAGTATTTGATCATAACAAAAATTATATTTTTATAGCAAGTGTCGGGTTCACTCATCCTTCAACTAGCCCCCTCTGTCAAGCATCAGTCAGCGGCAATGTTGAGCATCATGAAGAGATACTTTTGGCATCATTTCTCAATTCTAACAACAATAATAGGCGGGCACGACGACTTCATTAGAGCGGTTCGAAACCAAGTCTTAGACAGCACTGATTTCACGTAAGTTGTTAAGATGAATCAACTAACAAAACGTTATGTTTCTCAACATGAGGCAATATATTTATAGTAGATGTTAAATTGAAATTACTTCAAATATGTTCGTTTTCTTACATTCAAATACTGAAAAAAGGTATGCATAGCAGGGTTAAGTTGGTATGTAGTTTAAATATGTTGGACCTTTTTTGTACATAACCCATCAATAGAAGTAAATTTAGTTCTTTAACGGGTTTTTTTTCAAAGTTTTCTCGATAGATAATTTAAAATGTCCAAAGATGCAAAAGCAAAGACGTCTATATGTTTATATGTATATATTTTTTAATATCTTTAGTTGGTTGGAAGCGCTTCCACAGCTTTCACTGCTCTTCATCCAACGACTATAAATGTACAGTAATTGATCAAACTTTTACACTCCTTGATTTTCACTGTTAATCCTGGGGTATACGTAAAAATTATATGTATGTGTACATGGGGTATAGCTACAAGTATGATCAATTCTTGTACGTCTATAGCCTTTGGCTGAAGAGCAGTGTAAGCTGCAAAAGCGCTTCTAACTGACTAAACTAACGAACTAAAGATATTAAAAAATACAGTATTTCGAACCTAGTGGTCCTTTGAATATTTATGATATATTATTACGCCCGAGAAGATCGTATATTTCATATTTTGGATATATATATATATAAAGAGAGAGATAGCAAAGAAATCTTGGACTGAACGATTATCCTCTTGGAATATCCTCCATGGATAATAAAGCCCTTATGAGGAGATGAACACATTCGTTGAGTAGAGAGTGGACAGATGGTGTATTTTTTCCATTTAATATAGAGAAATAACTTTTAGTTTGAAACTTGAACATATATTTTAAGCACATAAAAAGAAAATATCTTGGCCAGTTTTAAAAAATTACCTCGATTTTCCTTGTTGGTAGAAGCACCTTGGTTACACATATAACAATTTTTACTTTCCCTGCAAAAGCAAATATCAAAAAAGCTTTTCCAAAACGAAAGCAAATAAGTGGGAGAAAAATTACTTTAAAAACAATTTGCCGTAGGACACTAATAGGTAGATTGTTAGTTTTTACCCCAATATCATGTCACTCTGTGTGTATTTGTTATTGACCAGCTTTCAACCTTTGTTGATTCAGTCTACTTCAGGTAGAACGAATAATTCTAGAAATTTGGGATTCAAGAAACATCTTCCCTTAAAATCAGAATTGTTTAGAAGCAGATAATTTTCTGAATACCATTTCCATTCAGTTATACGTGTAATAATGCAGCCATTGCCAAGCAAGTTTTGAACATAGCTCTCGAATATTTTTACTGCACAAAAAAAAGGAAAAAAAGAATGAAGCATGTGCAATTTTATTGAACTGTATTGTTATGTAATTTAATGTTAAAATCAGAGTAAGAGAAATTCATGGCAAAATCTGATATCTTATCAGTGCATGAACAGCTATTCCATAAAACAAGAAAAGCAATTTCGAAACGTTCCTGTTATTCTATCTCAGCCCATGATATTTCCCGTAATGTAAACCAAACTGAAGAGGTACACCAGGGAATTCTTCGTACAGCTGTTCTTAATTTTGAACTGATAGACTGCAGGTAAAACTATATGACAGCATCCGCAGCCACCTCCTGGTATATTTGTATATTTGTTGAATTCGGGGCCAAGCTATTCGAGAGCTATGTGCGATAACCATCCGTAATTTGGAATGATGGACTAAAGAGAAGGAAGCTAGTCAACACCACCTATCGCCACCTCTTGGGATACTCTTATACCAAAGAATAATGGAATTAACTATTACATTATAACGCCCACACGACTGAAAGGACAAATATGTTCGGTGACAGATTTCGATCTCGCGAGATTCAGATTACGAATCGAACGTTCTAACTACCACCAGGCCCTTTCTCTTGTCTGATAGACTGTCACTCTTATAGCGCACCCTTAGCCGCAAAGTGCGGAATGCTTTTTCTCAGCAACTGTGAATCTTGGATTCACAATTTGGAAAACAACCCACTAGGCCACGCCTGTTACGATAAGAAAATAAAATAATCGAACGTTAAACATAGTTTGAGAACACACACAATTATATTGTTATATGGCTCTGAAATTTTCAGCTTCAAGATTAGAATTGAGAATGGCAACTACTCGGTTGATATTTTAACTATTTAGGTTTTCAGTATCCTGAACTATTCACTCTTGCTACTACTACCCTTAGAAATGAGCTCTATCACTGCTTTCTCTTAACATATTATATTCTAACCTTTTGCCATTTGATTTCTGCAGATACAATATCATGGACGTCTTCGTCATTAAAACGAAAACTCGCAAGAAAATTGCTGAAGAGATAGAATTCCTCAAGTACAGTGAAGTTAGAGTGATTTTATTGTACTCCACGAAAGAAGAAGGTGCAGAAATTATGGGAGCTGCCAACGATTTGGGTATCACAGGTAAAAACTACGTTTGGATCGTAACACAATCCGTCTTTGGTACAGCCGAAAACAACGCTCCAACAGAGTTCCCTATCGGTATGTTAGGTAAGTAAAGAGCAGTCTATGAGACAGTCTTTTGTAGTAAAGTTCGAAGACAGTTGTTACGTTGAAAATAGCGGTTAGAGCATGAAAATTACAACTACGTAAGAATCAGTTATAATAACGATTAACACAATATTTCATATTATTTGCATAATCTTTGTATGTGGTGTCGTTTGGTATTCTGAAGAATCTGTTAATTATTACTCTAACCGGAAATGACGAAAATGGCTATTAACAATGAAGTCAAAATAATTAGACACAACGAATAAAATGTAGATTATTAGGTAAATGTGTTGCATTTACATTTGTTGAGTAATTTGGATATTTCACCAATGCATAGCTGTGTTACTGAAATTCAGATCTTTGGGTATAAAAATTCTTGATATCCTAATATTTCATACGCGAAGTTCTATACATGCAGAGGGTTAAACGCACTTTATAAGAAAAATTTGCATATACTGATGCACTGGAATGTTTCTGCAGGTGCAAGCCGTGTTGCTACAAGCGATATGTTTAGAACAAAGATTTTATTTTTAAATTGTTCTTCATCCAACTAAAAACAGGAGTGAAACTATAATATATTCTAAGAGCACCATTTATGCACTGAATACAGGTAATTAATCGATTCGATTTTAATAAGAGAATATACCTCTTATGACACCTGGCATTATCTAAAATCAGGACATCAAAATGCTAGTAGAATGATTCCAGGCGTTATCTAGCATCAAGACATCTCAATTCCAGCAGCGTGACTCCTGGGATTACCTAGCGTCAAGGCATCATAATTATAGCAGAATGACACCTGACGTTATCTACCATCAGAATATCGCAATTCTAGGAGAGTGTCACCTGTTATTATTTGGCATAAGAATATTACATTTCTAGAAGAATGATTCCTACCATTATTCAGCATAAGGACGAACTGAGGTCCAATTGACTCTGTAAAACATGGTTTCACTTGGTCTAACACCACATCAGTATGTTGCCATACAGTAAAGCTACCTGTTGGGTGCTCCATAAAATCTTTACGTACATTCTGACTGATGCCTCTTCTGGCCATAAATGACTCGACGCCTAAATTGTCATATTAAACAAAATTACAGTGAATAAGATGTTCTTTTTGCATTGTTGTTAAACGCAAAGCTGTAAAGTGGACTGTTTGTACTTTATCCATCGCAAGGATCGAACCCTAGCTTACCGCTGAACTATCGGGGAAAATCAACTCATTCACTTCTGCCATTCAGACATGAAACCGTCGATAATCGTTAAGAGAGATCAAATTTCAACTCATCTATAAAGTATTCATACCCTCAACAGTGATTTGCCAACATACCCTCAACAGTGATATGCCAATTAGGATGATCTCGATAAAAGTCCAAGCAGACTGTGTGGTGCTGAGCGATCAACCGCAAACCTGAAGCTCGTTTGTTTGCTGAAACGTTTCTCAATTTGCTGTTTAGAATCACATATTGATTCTATGAGTAGCGGACTGACTACTAACGATCAGTAATTACGAAAGCAATCATTTCATGTCATATTTGATCCTATATAGTCTTGAATGATATTTTTCTAAACAGACAAATTATTTCATAGTCTGACACAACTCTTCCCCAGGGACTTGGATAGATCAGTATTGCATACTGACACAACTCTTCCCCAGGGACTTGGATAGATCAGTATTGCATATCACTTGTCTCTCTTTTGTTTGGATTCAGTTTTGACAGTTGTACTGCCATGATAGTCCTCTACCCGCCATCAGCAGGCAGCATTGTATCATAACTATATGGAAACAATAAACAGAATTGAAACGATCAATTAAAGAAGAAATGATCAAATCTGAAGTCAAAACTGGGCACTATCAACACAGGATGGGTAGCACGTGCAAAGTATGCGACAGTAGAACATATGAAGTATCCATATAACAAATACATCGATTTTTGGAACTACATTTAGGTACATGGTTTTTCAGGCCATATTTAGAAAATAACACCTTTTTTCGTACAATCTAATTGCTTCTTGCTTGAGACATCAAAAATACATTACTCATAAAAATGTTCAGTAAATGTATAGATCTCTAAGGAAAGATAAAGCAATAATTTACAGTTATACACTCGAACATAAGGCATGTTTACGTTCCTTAACTGTTTTAATTACAGTATTTATAATTTACAAGTTAAATGTTTAATAATTGTAAATTGCCTATATATTCAACACATATTATTTCAACTTTTCCTTAACGTTAAAAAATTTTTCAATGGGTCGTTTTCGTGTTCAAAAATTCTCGCTCTCACAGAAACTTTTATTTTGAAAAGTAGTAAGCAAATAAATGAATAGATTCCCGCTTAACATATTACACTTTTATAACAATTAGAATTCAAAGCAGGGTTGACTCATATACAGAAACAAACCATCTAGCTATTAAGTGACTAATTATAGAATGGTTTATTATTCCTGGCTGTTTGACTTATATTCCCAGGATGAACTAGAAAGAATCAAAAATTCTTGCTTAAATCCTATCGCATCTAATAACATGAAAGTTGAATATATGAAAAAGGAGATAATAACTAGTCATTAAGCTACAGACTCTTTTGTTTCTGTTCACATCCTTGTATCTGTAAACTGTATAATTCATTTCATTGTGCTACCAGAAGCAATCTAATAAGTATTGTATTATGCTTAAAAAATTATGTCTCTTTGAAAATTTTAGCATTTATTATTTGTAACAATGACTAAGAAGAACGAACAGTGTGAGACAAGTTGCATTTACATGAAATAACATGCAAAGACAGTATATATTCATAAACATTTAGTTGAATAGGAAAAATGTGAGCTACATTTCGAAAATTATTTCCCTTACTTTTAATTTTATGAGATCCCAAGGATAGCGTTGCCATGAAATATTGTCTTTATCTTTCTTTTAATATTCATGTTAAGTTGAGGAATTTGATTAATTTTTATCAAAGTATCTTTCTAATTTTTTGATTTTCCTTCCGAAATTACGTTAAGAGGATTTACAATTATTCAACAAACCTTATGATATCAAAATTGTTGGTGAAGTTTTTTCGTTTGAAGATAAGCACAAAGCTGCTCAATGGGATGTATTTGCTCTGCCCACCCGGGTATCGAAACAAAGTAATTGTGAGTAATACATTAATTCGAGTTTGTCTCTATAAAATTTGCTTCCCAAATATCATTCTGAACGAAACCCTGGAAAGTATTACGATGGCAAAAATTAAAAGTGGTAGTGAATGGTAAACAACGACAAAATAAGGCTTCAAAGCGCATTTCTCTCTAGCTAGAGGAAAACACAAATATCAACTAATCTCAAACTAATCTCATGTGTAAGTTCCAGACCAAATACAATTGTTATTCTTGGTGGCAATCTTTATAGTAAATTGTTCATCTACCAGTTCCATAAATCTTCAGTTCAGGGATATAAAGCTAACAGAGTATCACTATATTGTTTAATTTTGAATATGTTTATTATTCAATGTAAATAATCCTTCTGTACTTTTAGAGAATTACATAAAACTCAACAACGGCGGTATCAAAGGGATCTAAACAAAAAAACGGCAATAAAAGTTTATATTTCCGATTTGGCGCTAAACCAACTCGAAGTATATTTTATGGCACAGGTTAAACCTATGGATAGATCTAAATTTTTCGGACTGTATGTGTAAGTTGTAATAAAAAAAAATTTAAAATCAATAAATCATAGGTGACCAAGTGTTACGTATTAGAATTTCGAATAGCCAGAAATTGAGTTAACTGATAAATTTAAATTTA